AGGATCAGAATTTGTAGGAGTGAATTTATTATTTAGTCTTCACTTTTATAATTTACTGGAAAGTAGGTATGATGGTTACATGTCTATTATTTTGTTTTTATTCACCTCTCAGTTAAAGTAGTAGTACCTGGCTCTCCTCCCTTTGAGTTAATAGGCAGACATGTGATTATCATTATTGATCCAGGCACTCTCTTTCTGTTTGGTTGTCCCACTTTCACTTTCTAAACTCTCGCAATGAGTGTTTTGTAGTTTTCTGACCCTTTTAAACTTTGGATTAGAGCACTGGACTCAGCAGTTGGTGACTTTGGCTATTGTGAAATTTTGAAGTATAGGGTATGACCATACAGATTCATAATCATACATGTTCAGCTGAATAAAAGAACTTGCCTGCAACTTCCAGCAATACTGCATTCAAGGGAAAGGTTTATGTTCTTAGTAAACTATTCTTGTTTTTATATTTGCTACTTTGAAGCCACTGATTTCAGTGTTATAGTATTTTTATTTAGGTGGAGAATGTAAATGCAAATTTTAATTCTCTTTTCCTGTTAGGAGGTAAAATGATACCTTTTCCTCACTTTCTTTATTTGAATAAATGTTTACAAATCTTATTGCCTTCATTCAATTATTCAGAGACATTTTGTTTTGTAACATTAATTAAATTGATTGAGGTAATTAATTATAATGCTTAATTAAACAGGTATTGCATATTGCCTTATATAAAGATTATTTTGAACATAAGTCAGGAAATAAAGCTACTTTTTTAGTTTTAATTTTTAATATTCATTTTTGTTTGTTTGCTTATTTATGTACTTATTTTAATGTGTGTACCGTCAATTCAGATCTGACTGGTACAGGAGTAGGTTGTCCCTCCTTCTTCAGCAGAACATCTGGTGGATTGGAACCATGAACTTCTGGCATTGCAGTGCAGCTTCTTGCCACTAGGCCAAAGAAAGTTATTTAAAAGCATGGTAGTGCTGACCTAAACTTTCACTTTGTTTCAAGTGAAAAGCAAAAAGTTTTATTGGAAGATTGGTTTAATCTGAGATGGAAAATTTATTGCATATACTTTTCAAATTTTATCTGGAGAGGACAGTCCTCAGAAAAAGCCATGTGCTTGGTTAAGTGAAGGATCAGTGAAGGAAAGGAAGGTCCTCAATGAGGTGAATTGACACAGTGCCTACATCATGCAATGATTTTGTAAATCATTACCTAACCTGGAAGGGAATGGAGAGCATTATGCTGAGTGAATGAATTCAGTCCCACAAAGATAAATATTGTATAAAACCATTGTTGTAGAATAAATATAAGGATCCAAGGGGGGTGGGAGAGGGTAGAAGCAAAGGGATGAGGATGTGCAGGGGGAGGACAATTAATCATGGAGTTGTACAGTTTGATGGGTGGGAGGGTGAAGGAAACGAAAAGAATCTGTTTTCTAAAACAATGTATTTGAATTTTTCAATAAACTTGATTAGAAATTAAAAAACAAACAAACAAGAAAAAACCCAAAAAACACGGAGGATATAGTGCAAAGGCACAAGGCCAGTCAAGGTTTTGTTCTATAGTCAGAGTCAACTGGGCTACACTGACACCAATAGCAACAACAGCAAAGCTTAATTTACATAAGAGAGTTGAGAAGTGGGGTGGGGAATTCACAACAATGAATGAGTATTAAAAGAAAAAAGAAAGTGAACTGAGGAGGAGGAAGGGAAAGAGGCAGAAATGTGTAATAATGAATGAATGAAAATCTAATTTTTTATAAACTTTTTGTTAACATCACAGTTAAAAGAAAAAATTTATATAAAAAGAATTTTCATTCAAACCAAGATCTGGTGTTTTCCATCATCCCAAATAAGAGTGTGCTCACACAAAAAGTGGATTGTTCACTAGATGTTGAGCATCGTTGTGAAAGATCAAGTTAAATTGCTTAAGAAAGAGACAAATATTTATGTGAAGGACTTGTATATTAGTGTTCCCCTCTTATTTTCTCCGATGTGGAATGGACTAGAGAGCATCATACTAAGTGAACTAACTCAGTCCGCAAGGATAAACCCTATATAAGGTCAGGTCATTATTGTAGAAATAGATAATTAGTGAAATGTGTATGAGGATCTAAAAGGGGAAAAGGGGAGCAGAGGGGTCTGGATGGTCGAGGGGGATAATCATAAGTCACACAAGCTTATGGGTAGAGGGAAGGGTGGGTTAAGGAAATGGGAAAGAGCTGCTGTCAAAAACAATGGGTATGAACTTTGTAAGTAAACCAGTATAAAAAGAAAATTTTATATTAAAAAAAATACATGGAAAATCAAGGTAAAAAAAGAAAGAAAAAACAAAATAAAAACCCCAGCAATATCTCCTCCTATGTTGTCATACACTTTACTGAAGAGCTAGTTCTGCAGGAAGCTTTGGTTGCCTGGTGGATAAGGAGTTGCATTCTTAACCCAACGGCAGGTGCTTTGAATCCACCACCTCCTCTGAAAACCCATTTAGCATCAGCTCTGAAGAGGTTCTGGCTTGACAGCACATATCAACAGCAGTACTTTAAGAAGTCTAATGGTGCTACAAGGCACTTGGCCGCTGTTGTTGTTGTTGTTGTTGTTGTTGTTATGTGCCATCAAGTCGTTTGCAACTCATAGCGACCCTAATGCACAACTGCCCTAAACCTTGCTCTATCCTGCGCCAACCGCACTGCCTCTGACACACCCATCCTGATTACCCCAGTCACCGAATCAATCCATCTCATAGAGGGTCTTCCCCTCCTGCGCTGTCCCTCCACCCTCCCAAGCATGATGTCCCTCTCCAAGGACCCGTCCCTCCTGGCGGCTCTCCGGCCAGAAAGGAATACATAATCTACACAGGAGTTCTACAGGACACGTCACCTTCCCTTGGAGACAGTACAACTAAACTTAAGAGATACTGGTCAAAGGGAAAAAAAATGTCAGCAGTTGACGTGTTTGGAATCACAGAAACCAAGAAAGCTTAAGATACAAGCTGTCAGATCATGGGTTGTACAATGGAAGATATTTTCTGAAGGGACTTGGCAGATGTGAAGGGTTATCCTGGTGGAGGGTGGAGCTGGGAAGTAAGTGGGTCAAGGCACTGAGCTAAGGGTGGGGTCCACACTGTAACTAATGCTTAACTCCACAATAAGGGATTTATCTTTCACTGCTCCACAAATTGCTTGTCTGTCAGATACTCCTCTAAATCTGAAGGTGCGCCTGATACAGGCCATGGTATTTGCAATCGCTTGCTATGCATCAGAGAGTTGGACAATGACTAGGGAGGACAGAAGGAGAGTGGATGCTTTTGAGCTGTGGTGCTGGAGAAGGGTACTGAATGTACCCTGGACTGCCAGGAAAACAAACAGATTTATCTTGGAGAGGATTAAACCAAGCTACTCCCTGGAGGCAAGGATTCTGGGGCTTCGTCTGACATACTTTGGACATGTTGCCAGGAGGGACGGGTCCTTGGAGAGGGACATCATGCTTGGGAGGGTTGAGTGACAACGGAGGAGGGGAAGACCCTCTATGAGATGGATTGATTCGGTGACTGGGGTAATCGGGATGGGTGTGTCAGAGGCGGTGAGGTTGGCGCAGGATAGAGCAGGGTTTAGGGCTGTTGTGCATAGGGTCGCTATGAGTCGGAAACGACTCGACGGCACATAACAACAACAACAACAAGGAAGAAGGATTGGCCACCCACTTCTGAAATAGCAGGCCTCTGAAAACCCTATGCACACTTGGCCGCTAATTGAAATATTAGTGATTGGTGTCCACCCATGACTGTCTTGGAAAAAAAAAGTCCTGGTGATCTGTTAAAAAAAAATCATTGACAACCCAGTGAAATATAGTTCTACTCTGAATCACATGGCATCAACTCCTTGGCAACTGTTTACTACTTGTAGTTCTGTAAGGCTAATGTGTTGACAGCAGAAATGAATGCCCAAGTCAGCAGATGGAAACTTGCCTTTAATGTTTAAATCTATGAGTAACAGGAACTCCTCAAATTATCAAATTACTCCCGTTCTCTTTATTTATGCTGAAAACAAGACTAGTCTGGGACTTCCTTGATAATTTCCATACCAATATTGAACTTGATAGCTGTGTGTTCGGTTTCATTTATCCCTAAATCAGTTAGCTACTTTTGAATAAATGAGATTGAGAAAGGATGAAAAGAGGCTGGGACATAGAGTTGCAAGGAAGAAACTGAATGCTCTACATTTTATGAGTTATTGCAGAGAAAATCTGACATTCATTTCAATCCAGTGTTGTCTGTGCTTTCCACTGGTGACCTATGGCCACACTCTTCTTGTGAAGAGTAGAATGTATGACAAATGAGAAGCTTAAATAACTGCGTGTATGGAGAGAGATTTGAAGCTTACTCTCCATCAGTCTTACCTCTTTGCCATCATCATGCATGCTGCCCAGAGAGATAATGGCATTAACTCCTGCTGTAGAAGCACTCATTTAATATAGGTACTACATTCAGCTAATTTTTATGAGCATTGGGAGAATCATTTAAAAAGGACCTGTTGTGTTGACAAATGCTCAGTACTGTGCAGTGAGGAACATTTTGGAATTATTTTCCTCTTTATAATATTTTTTCCGCTATTTGAAAAGGTAGTCTATAATGATTTAGAGACATCTGTATTTTGGGTTAAGTTGTAGAATGAATACATGCAAATGAGTGCACTTTATTTCCATACTTATGTTGCGGAGTATTTTGGCTGTTGTCCTAGTGTTTATAGTCAATGAATGTTAACACTAGCTGCATTTTGGGAAGCAGTCATAAAACTCTACTGGTTTGTCCCTTTGAGAAATCATATTGCCCCCCAAAGAAAACCATTTACAAATATATGCATTTTTGAATAATTAAATGAGCTGCTGAAGAGGAAAAGGATTCTAATCAGCTTTCACACTGTGATTGTGATTCATTCTCTTATGAATAACATTTCTCTTGGAGCGTGTATAATTCTGAACCTTTTTTCCCTCCTGTCTCGGTAGGAACTGGGAAGTAACAGCCCTCCACAGAGAAACTGGAAGGGGATCGCTATTGCCCTGCTGGTGATTTTAGTTGTATGCTCACTCATCACTATGTCAGTCATCCTCTTAACCCCAGGTAATCTGTCTTTATTCTTCTCTTCTGTTGGTATTGTGGATGATAATTTCACATTCAGATGCTTTAAGAGGGTACCAGCATGTGGTGTCTTAGGACACGCTAACATTGGTTGAAATTTTTAAAAAATGCATAAGCGGACATTTTGAAAATGGCACAGTAATTCTATTGTTACAACATCATGCAGCATGATTTTAGAAAGTTAAAAAGGTATAGCCTATAAATTGAGATTTCTAAAGAGATCTTTGGGCTTCATTGCTACACAGTGACATTTTACAGTGTTTGACAGCTTGGTAAATGCAGGAAACATTTGACTTGAATTGTGGGTTGAAGATGGAGTGCAATATGGAAATTCAAATATGTAGATTATAACCTGAATATATGTAACAAAGTTTCCATTTTCCTGCAGTCCAGAGAGATTTCTGGGTTTCAGGGAATAGGTGTGAGTGTCAGGCCATTGCCATGATGTTCATTTGAACCTTGAGCCTTTAGAAAACTGGTTTTCTAAAGTTAGCTTTCAGTCTAACAGTAGGCTAAGCCAAAAGTTCAGTTAGACATTTTGTCTGGGCCATGTGTTCTTTTGAAGAATTCTCTCTGTGTAGTATCTTTTGAAACCAAACCTCTAACTTTTCAGGTGAAAATTGGGTGTTAGAGTAAATTAGTGGTTTAAGTGTTTATTCAGGCAAACAGTGTATGAAATTCACCAGTTGTTTTTCTGTCAATTCTGTTAGAGTTTTTCTTCCATGGCAAAAATGATAAGATGATTTTTTTTCCTCTGGGGCATTTTTGACCCCCTTCTCAAAATAGAATACTGATTTATTAATTGTATGTGAAATAAGAAGAGCCCTGGTGGAGCAGTTGGTTAAGCATTACTAACTGAAAGGTCATTGGTTTGAACCCACGTCCAGGGAGATAGCTGAGGCAGTCTACTTCCATAAAGATTTACATCCTCAAGAGAGGTTATGGTCAGTTCTACTTCAGCCTGGAGGGGCACTCTGAATCAGCATGGACTCAATGACAGCTGGTTTGTATAAGATTTTATTTAAAGTAAACTCTGAAAATTTTATATTTTGGGCTTAACGGGGCTTTTGTTTTAACAGTGTGGTTTCAGTAGAAATAGAATATTTGTGGGAAGAAAGGGATCTTAATTAAGGAGAATATCCCTCTTCCCCCTTTGCATTTCTTTCCTTGCAGTTTTTACATTCCTCATTCTTCCCCTGCATAAAGACCCTTTCCAAATAGGTTTTGCAATGATCTTTGAACTGTTTTTCAGATTAAAGAGTTTGACACTTACATAAGAATCCTCATGACTTAAACAACCAGAAGTGAAGGAATAGATAATCATGTCATTCACTCTGTAAACTCCCCAGACTCTTCTATGGGGGAAAAGAAAAATCATGCTAAATGCTGCTCCAGACCATTTAGTTTGCCTTTTTAAAGAACATATAATTAAAAAGTCATTTCTTACACAAGATCAAGGTAGTAAAAAAAAAAAAAGAATATTACCAATTAAAACCTGATGCTGAATATGAGATATTTATAGTTCTCTACTAGCTTTGTTATTTTATAAGCCCCTTAAACACATTGAACTTATTTTTTCTTCTCCAAAATATGATTAACAGTAACTCACTTTCAGTCTCATTTAGTCAATAATTATGGTTACTAATTCTACTTGGTCACTTTCTCAAAGTTTGTGGCTTATTAAAAATACCATCATTATAAAATATTTGTTTTATAAAGTACAGACTGTCAGAATAGCCATTTATGATCACTGTTTATGGAACCATTGTAAAAACAAGTGAATGAGTCTAGAGGGAGAAAGCTTGGAAACAGGAGAAAAAGAAAAAAAGATACAAATAGTAATTCACAAAAAGAACATACAATACTTCAAACACTCATTAAGAGACCTGACTTATCCAGCATTCTCTTAACAAATCTCTCTTAATTATCTTTTTTCTACATATGCGTTAGATAGTTGTATGGTACGTGAGCAAAATAATAGCTCCAAGTTTTTGGAAATGTCATGAATTTTGTTAAAAGCAAGCTCATCATCATGCTGCACTTAAACATAGGAGTGCTTTTGTAACTCTTAAAGAAAATAATAACTCTATTTCACTGCTTTCTATTGTGACTGTTAAGCAGGAAGAGGGAATTGGGGCCTAATATCCCTCTGTCTCGCCTGAAATCTTCCCCAGTCTTATCCCAATTCCTGTAGTTCTCTTGCTCAGCTTTACTTACTATTCATCAAGGACACAATGAAACGTTGGGTACTTGAAACATTGATAAAGCAAAGGCCAATGAGGGACCACTTAACTGAATATTTTCTACATAGATGTTTTCCTTTTCCTTCCAGTATGAAAACCCTGCATTGGTCCATTCATTTTGTCTTGTATTTATATATTGAAGCATGGGCTTGGCTATGATGGATCTCATTTTGAGTTCATGCTCAGTAATTTGCGAGTTGTGTGAATTTGGCAAATGTTTTTCAAATTTGTCTTTTTCTTTACTCCTTGATGTTATGGTCAAGTCACAGGTTTATTTTTGAGATCAAATGCAATCATGTGGGGCAGCGTTTTGTATAGTGCATATATTCCTCTTATTATTGATAATACTGAGAGAGTTCTGGTGGCCTGCGAGTAAGGAGCTCTGCTGCCAACCCAGTGGCAGATGGTTCAAATCCACCAAGTACTCCTTAGGAGAAAGATGAACAGTTTCTTCCCATGCAATTTACCATCTCTGAAAACCCACTGGAGAGTCAGCTGTGAGTTAGTGCTATTTCAATGGCATATAACAACATGCACAACCACCACCACATTGTTATTATTTAGTACTTTCTTACCAATAGTCAGAGTGCTGCTTGGCAGCAAAGATGATAAAGCTTTGCCTCACATACTTTGGTCATGTTGCTAGGAGAGGCTTTTCCTTGGAGAGGGACATGTGGCTTAGAAAGTTGGAGGGATGGCGTAAAAAGAGAAAGATTCTCAACCAGGTGGATTGATGCAGTGACTGCAGCAATGGGCTCGAATGTTTCAGAGATTGTGAGGATATTATGGGATAGGACAAGGTTCAGATCTATTGTTCATAGAGTCTCTGTGAGACTTGACTTACCTCAGTAGTTCCTAACAACCGTAACAACCAACAGACACTACCAAATAATGTTCTATGTTGAAGATTTCTGAGAAAAACTACTGCCTCATAGAAATAGAGAACTTTTTTGGGCTATGTTTTGAACTTTTGACAGGTAGAAAGGGACTGATAATTAAATCTTCAGTTAGATTTCAGAACTTTCTCTGTTCTTTCATTTATTCTTTTAGTAGAGAGTTCAATCCAGGTTCTAGGTGCTGTGGTAGTGGACTATGACCTTCCTTTGCGTTATATGTCCAGCATCTCCAATCTCCTGCATCTCCAGCTATTCAGATAATTAAATCTAGAAACCCACACCATCTTCAAGCCAAAGGCTTCACTTAATATTACACTAATTATAGAAATTAACATGCTTCTTACATACCATGTGATTAGAATTTTGAGTTTGCATTTCACTCTTATTTTCAGCAGATATATTAAGAATTAAAAATACAAGTCAATGGGCTGGAGTGAAATAGGCAGACATAAAGAAGCAATTAACCTGTTTTCTACAACCAGAAAGCCTGTGTTTTAAGGTTGATATTACAAACTTGGTACTGCCAGAGGCCACAAAGATTATTAGAAATTTATGAATTAGGTAGATAAAAGTAAAGTTGTTATGCATTTTCTTGAATTGTGATCAAGCATGATACTAATACTGGCTTAATTACATGGTCTATAAAACATAAATAAGCATATCTAAATGACATTTTAGGCCACAAGACTATCATTTTACAGTCCAAGATTTGAATTATATGGCAGGAGGAACACATATGTGGTTTGTTTACTTTATTAGACAAAATATAAGCAGGATTTATATAACTTTTAGTCCAAAGGACTGGAATGTGCATCAGAGCAGTTTGTGGGCACATTTTGTTTGCCACATGTGCGTGATCTTGGACTTGTGGCCACACCCTTGTGTTTGAATTGCATGTAATCTACATCTTCTTGCCTTGAGCTCCTTCATTTGTGCCACAATAGAGCTATAACTCAAAATCTCCAGTTGGATGCCTAACACACAAGCCACCTTTGCAGCCTTCTTGACCACCAATGGGTCCTCACAGTTCAGTATTTTAAGTGGAACAAATCCAAACAGGTAGAAATTTTCAGTTCTATGTAACTGGAATAAATCAATCACTTAACACTTTGGGCATCATGAGAATCACCATTGAAGAAAAAGTCACCCTTAACACCTTTAAAGAAAAGGTCACAGTTGGTTTGTCAGAATCTGAAATGATCCTGTGAGACTTGGTCAGCTCTAATATGTATGATCAAATATAAAATCAAATAACTTGTTTTAGCAAAAATAGAGCATTACATTAAAACAGGTTAGCTTTTTCACAAAGCCATTTATTTAGGTAGACCTTGAAGATATTTATTGTATTATTATTATTACTTTAATAATAAATAAAAAGCATGTACAGATTTAGCTAGTCTAAGAAGTTATTAGGATCTATTCTGCTAAAAATAGCATCACATTTTGCTAGTAAGTGCTAAGCAGTGCAAGCTTATAGCGAGAAAAACACATGTTCATTGTAATTTGGGTTTGATTGCAGATTTTATTACAGAAGAAATTTGACACAGGTGTTTTAATTTCCAAAGTTATCAGCAACTTCCCTTCCTTGTGAAGAGAAACCTCAATTATTTTTGAAGAGTGCAGCTAACCATTAAAGGTTTTAATAAACTATTTCTAAATAAATAGATTACTCACTCTATATTTTAATTTTTTTTATTTTTCCTAATGAAAGGTTGGATGTATTTAGACAAAGCTACATGATGTTCGCTTTTTTTTTTTGGTATAGAATTTGTATAAAGGAAGAAGTATATCCACATCTATTTTCTGAATATTCAGAGTATGACCAATGATAATATTTTAAGAA